CAGAGACCCCCTCGACGGTCCGTCGACCCATGAAGGTCCGTCGTGGGATCCGTCGTCTCAGCCAATTTTCCAGAAATAACATCTGTTTCTCAAAACGACTAAATAGATCGTTACATATACAAATTTTGAATCAATTTGACTTTAAAGATGAGAATGATTAATTTAACGCGAATCTATCATTTGTGGTCTGAAATTGCAACTCTTAAACAGGGCACTGAATTTGTAACTTCATATTACTCAAAACTCAAGGATTTGTGGACTGAATTGGATGTGATGATTCCATCGCCAGGCTGCAATTGTGAGGATTCAACAATCTATGTGAGACATTTAAGATCACAAAGACTTCTACAATTCTTAATGGGATTGAATGAGAGCTTTAGCAGTATTAGAAGTAACATTTTGTCTAGGAAACCAACAGTAACTGTGAATGAGGCATATGCAGTAGCAGCACAAGAAGAAAATATAAGAGCATTGGGAGTTTCAGATAAAACAAGAGATCCTTTAACACTCTTAGCAGGAAAATCTCAGACATACAATCCTAGGCCAAAGAAATTTGTGCCTCCTAGAACAATATGTGATCACTGTGGATTCAAAGGTCATTATAAGAATGATTGCTACAGATTGGTAGGATATCCACCAAGATTTCAAAGCAAAAGAAAATGAACTGATGGTTATAAAAATGACTACACAGCAACTGAAGGTTTTAGGTCTGACTTCAAACAAAATGCACATTTCACAAGGAATTCTGATGACTTCCATGATAAAGGAAAGCAAGCTGAAGGTCACATGACACCACCTCAATACCAAGATCTGGTAGACAGGATGCAAAGAGCAGGAACATCAGATTGTGTTGCTAACATATCAGGTATGGCTTCTGTAAACTCAAAAACAAGCAGAGTTTATGAATGGATAATAGATAGTGGAGCTACACACCACATCACACCTAATGAGGAGATATTGACTACCATCAAAAGAGTACAAGGAAATAGTAGTGATGGAGTACAAGTTCCAACAGGAAGTAGATGTGATATTAAAGGAATTGGCAATGCACAGGTTCTAGAGATCCTGAACTTAGAAATGTCTTGCATGTGCCAGACTTCAAATTTAGTCTGTTGTAAGTATCGAAGTTAACTAGGGAATTATCTTGTTCAGTGTGTTTTTTCCTTGATTTCTGTGTCTTTCAGGGACTCTACTATGGCAAGGTATTGGGGATTGGTAAAGAGAAGGAAGGATTGTACATTTTGAAGAATCAAATACAGTCATCAGCACAAGCTATGGCTACTGCAAACATGAGTAAAGATGCAACATTATGGCATTTGAGATTAGGACATGCTCAACTGGTATTTTACAGCATATTCAATCATTGAAACATTTCTCAGACAAGAATGTGCAACATAAATGTGAGATTTGTCCCTTAGCAAAACAGTGTAGATTACAGTTTCCTATTAGTGAAAGAAGAACTTTAAAAGCATTTGAAATGATTCATGTGGATGTTTGGGGGCCATATAAGAAACATACCTTTGATAAGAAGCAATATTTTGTCACTTTTGTTGATGACTATAGTAGATATACTTGGGTATGCCTCATTCACTCTAAAAGTGAGGTTATTGTAGTGCTCAAGGATTTTATTGCCTTAATAAAGAATCATTTGGCTTGTCTGTGAAAATTTTAAGATCTGATAATGGTACTGAGTTTTTCAATTCTTCAGTTGATGAATTACTTTCTTCTCAAGGTATTATACATCAGAGTAGTTGTGCATACAACCCTCAACAAAATGGAAAAGTAGAGAGAAAACACAGACACATCTTGGAAATGGCAAGAGCTTTGAGATTTCAAAGTTCTATCCCAATTCATTTTTGGGGTGAATGTGTTAGGAAAGCTATGTATTTGATCAATAAGCTCCCTACTGAAGTACTTGGTGGTAGGTCACCTTATGAGATGTTGTTCAAGAAAATTCCTAGTCTTCATTATTCAAGAGTTTTTGGGTGCTTATGTTATGCAACTCAATTGCCAAGAGGGGATAAGTTTGCTCCCAGAGCTAGAAAAACAATCCTTCTTGGTTATTCTGAAACTCAAAAAGGTTACAGGTTGTTTGATTTGGTTGATAAGGTATTTTTTGTTAGTAGAGATGTAACTTTTAGAGAAATCCATCTTCCCTCACCAAACTTGCCAAAATGACTCTATTTCTACTAGTCTTGACATGTTTGAATTACAGAAATCAGATTCTTTTTCCCCTCCTCTTATTATTTCCTCCGCTCCTTCAACTGAGTGCACTACTGTTCCTATCCCTGATCCTATTATAGATAACACTCCTAATATCCTAACTGATGAATCACCCTCTATACAGCCTTCAGAAGAACCTCTCCAAATTGTTGACCAGATTCAGTCTAGACCTTCCAGAACTACTAAACCACCTGGATGGTTAAATGATCATGTCACTTCTTCTAAAGCTAAACCACCATCTGTCAGCTACTCATATCCCAATTCTGACTCACTTCAGTATTCACATTTGTCCACTTCTTATAAGGAATATTTGAGTTCTTTTTCTTCTCAAGTTGAGCCAAAATCCTTGAAAGAAGCATCTCAAGATGCTAAATGAATTGCAACTATCACTGATGAACTTTGTGCCTTAGAAAGTAATAACACTTGGGAAGTGGTTGACTTGCCACCAGGCAAACAAGCTATTGGCTCTAAATGGGTGTTTAAAATTAAGCATAAGACTGATGGTACTATTGATAAATACAAAGCAAGGTTGGTTTCTAAAGGGTTATACTCAAAAGGAGGGTTTAGATTACCATGAAACATTCTCACCTGTGGCAAAGATGATAACAGTACGCACTTTAATCAGTGTTGCAGTCTCTAAAGAATGTCCTTTAATTCTCATGGATGTCAATAATGCATTTCTTCAAGGTGATTTACATGAAGAGGTTTACATGTCTCTACCTCAAGGTTTCCACAGATAGGGGGAGACAAGAGTTTGTAAGCTGTTGAAATCATTATATGGCCTGAAACAGGCTTCTAGACAATGGAATATCAAACTGTCTACTGCCTTGTTGGAAGCAGGATATACTCAAAGCTCACATGACTATTCCTTATTCACCAAATATTGTGGAAATAACATAGTTGTAATCCTGGTTTATGTTGATGGATTGATGATCACAGGAAACAGCCAACAACTGATAGAAGATGCTCAGAAGACATTACATAGCACGTTCAAAGTGAATGACTTGGGTCTGCTCAGATATTTTTTAGGAATTAAAGTATTGAGGTCAGATAAAGGAATTCTACTTAACCAAAGGAAGTACATTTTGGAATTACTCTCTACAGTAGGATTGGGAGGATCTAAGCCAGCTTCCACTCCCATGGAGATGAATGTAAAGCTTACTACATTAGAGTATGACTCAGTAGTTGGAGGTGTTGAAGATCCTATGCTAAGTGATATTCACAGTTATCAGCAATTAATTGGGAAACTAATTTATGTAACAATCACCAGGCCTGATATATGTTTTGCAGTCCAAGTCCTTAGTCAGTTCATGCAACATCCAAAAAGGTCACATTGGGATGCAGCATTGAGAGTGCTCAGATACCTCAAGCAAGCACTTGGACAAGGAGTGTTACTGGCAAGAGATTGCATCACAAGCTTGACAGCATACTGTGACTCAGATTGGGCAGCTTGTCCCAATACCAGGAGATCAGTGACAGGATATGTAATTCAACTAGGAAGTTCCTTGATCTCATGGAAGTCAAAGAAGCAGCATACCATCAGTAGAAGCTCAGCAAAGGCTGAATACAGTAGCATGACAGTTACAGTAGCAGAGATTATTTGGTTGACTGGATTATTAAAGGATCTAAGGGTAGACATTACTACTCCAGTTAGAATATGTTGTGATAGCAAGGCTGCTATGCAGATTGCTACCAATCCAATCTTTCACGAGAGAACCAAACATATTGAGATTGACTGTCATTTTATAAGGGAGAAGATCAAAGATGGCTTGATCAAGCCTGAATATGTGGGAACCAAATCTCAGCTGGCAGACTTACTTACAAAAGGCCTAGGGACTGAACAACATCAATTTCTTCTTTCCAAGCTAGGAGTACTTGATGTCTTTCGTCCTAGCTTGAGGGGGAGTATTAAATAATATAGAGTAATTAGTGTTTGTTAAATCTGTTAAATAGTCACGTGTAAGTTGTTAGATTAGCTTGCACAATACAAAGTTAGTTACAAAGTTAGTTACAAAAAGTTGATGTATAAATAAGCTGTAACAGTGAACTAGTTCATATATGTGAAAACTTTCTCTTCTCCTTCTTAATCAAATTCCCTCCAGAATGCAATTCACAATCAATAAAATGAATTAACAATAGTGACTCTAATTGCTTAGATACAACTTGGCAGGTATAATTTAATTTTAAGAAAATTTATACTCCTTTCCTCTGTTTAAAAAAGAATGATTTTTTTCTTTTTTTAGTCTGTTTAAAAAAGAATAACTTCTTTCTTTTTTGAGTAACATTTTAATTCTAGCTTTACACGTGACATATTTAAGGCGACAAGATCAAAAGATTATTCTGTATAGTTTACTAACTTTAATCTAGGAGCACAAGATTTACAACTCTTCTTTATACGCTTAAGTTTCGTGCCAAATCAAACCATGTTATTCTTTGTGAAACGAATGAAATATAATTTTTTTTCTTTATTCTTCGCGATCTCTAATTAATAATGAAATAATACTATTTTTGTTTTGATGATAGGTGGTGAAAATTTTGTTACAACCTCTAATTACTCCAGAAAAACACTCGAGGTCAATCCAATCACAAAACTTTACCAGTTACGTCAAAAGAACGATTTTGAAGATAAAATTTGTTGATCAATGGGAGAGATTGACGTTTTTGTTGATGGAAGGGAAAAAAAATAGAGCTGCAAACAATGCATATGAACAAGTAGTCCATAATTTGAGTTATTATTTAGGTCAAAGTCATCTGCGGCCCATTAAAGTTGTCCTCATTATTCATTTAGACACCTCAACCAGACTTAATACCTATTAGACACTTTAATATTAATAAATGTGTGTCTATTGAACACAAAATGATAGTTAACATAAAAAACATTATGCGTGTAACTCACATGTTGTACTTTGATAAAGTTACCAATAACATTGTGACACGTGGTCAATAACTCAATCTAACCTTAAGAAATGAATTTTTAATTTTGAAAGATAAAAATAATTTCCAGCCCTAATTAATCTAATCCCACCTACTGAAACCTTTGTCATTCTTCTTCTTGCCACTCACCGCTCTCAATTCTTCCGGCGGATCATCTTTTTTTTTCTTCTTCTTATTACTCCTACAATTTGTGTGCATAGCAAAGTAATTTTTGAAATGCTTGTGAAAAATAAATCGACATGAATCTTTTTGAAATTATCGGCGAAGAGAAATCGAAAATATTCAAATTAATTCTATGGAATTTATGATATCATTTTTTCCACAATAAACTTATTAGTTTACATTTTAATTTGACTGATAATGTCTGTTTAGAGTGCAAAAATAGAGATGGACGGAGGCTAAATAACTTTTTTAATCAATTAGTATATATATATATATGAAAAGAAATGAAATAATAAAGGAAAAGAAATGTCAAAAGTTTGGGCGAAGAAGACTATGACCGGAAGTGGAGTCAATTTCTTTAAAGAAATGCAGAAAGTTTAGGCGAAGAAGAGTATGGCAGGAAGTGGAGTCAATTTCTTTTCTTTATCAAAAAATTAATTTTAAACAATTTTTTTTAGTAATCTTAATGTCAGGTGTTTGATAAAACAAAAAAAAGTACAATTTTTTAAAAATAAATAAAACTAAAATGTTATTTGAATAAGTGAGGTACACTTATTTTGCCAAATCAGCATTTTGTGTTTAATAGGCACATGTCTTGAACAATTTAGGCCTTCAATAGGTATAAGTCCTAGTTCAGGTGTCTAACTGAATTATATGGACAACTTTAAGGGATTATTTAGGATGATGATCAACCTTTGTTATATAAAACACGAAGATAGAAATGTTATGTCAAAAATGTTTACTGTTTTATTGTTTACGAAATTTATGTGTCTATGATTTCTGCTACATTGGGTTACATGACAAAAGGTGAAATTGTTTATCTGAATTCGAAATCAAAAAACAAGATTCTACAATGGTGCACCAGCCCAGAGTGTTTTTCTATTGTTTTGGAAGGAGGAAAAGACGGAACGCCTTTGCTTCTTCGGTTTAGTTCCAAATATGAATGATCTCAATGGAATGGCTCCTCCAGCTGAGTTATTAACTTGTTGTTGATTTCCACCAGCAAGTCCATACTCTTTCTCTAACTTTGTTACTGTCTTTTCGACGTCTAATTGAAGTGCATTTATATGATCAACACCGGCTTCAAGTTCCTTTTTAACCTTTGTGTTTTCTTGTTTCATGTTTAACACTTCACCTTGAAATTTTGCAGCTTGATGACTACTGAATCTTATCTCGTCTTCTTCAACTCCGTCTTTTAAAGCTTTTGTGATCTCCTCTTGAAGTCTGCATAATGTAGAAGACCTACGTTTCATTTCGTCTTTCAAAGGGACCGTTTGTTTTAACCATACTGCTAACTCGTTTTGGATTTCCCTCATGTGTTTATATATAGGCCTGATTTCTGATTTCATGTCTGTATTAGTATTGTTTCCTTCTTCGACTTCTTTCTCTCTTACTTTCAATATTTCACTCTGTAAATCTTGGACTGTTGTCTTGAATTTTTGGATTTGATGAAATGTTGAGCTGAATCTTAACCAGAACTCTAAGTTTTCGTCTAGTATTGCATCAATTTCCAGCCGGAACTTCTCCTCAAAGGGTGAACGAGATGTATGGTCATCGATCATAGTATTGTCTTGATCCTTATGGTTATCATTGTCCTCTGTCTCAGCCATGTCCTCGGATTTTTGTAAGCTTTGATCATCTGAAGGATCGGATGCTGCTTGTTTCTCTGATGGCTCTAGCGCTTTGCTTTCAGTAACATTATCTCCTTGAAGAGCGTTTAGTTTCCCTCGTAGACTGTTGATCTCTTCGTCTCTCTTTGCAATTGCAGTTTTAAGCTCTCTCATTTGCAATGTGACCTCGAATTCGGTGTCCCTATCTTTCTTCTCCTTCTCACTCAGCTTCTTCTTGACATCCTTATAATTCCTTAGAACTGTCGTATATTCTTCTACGAGAGTCTTTTCCCTATCCTCTGACCGACTTGACAACTCCTGCCAGTTAGGCTCGTCGCCTTTCTCCTCATCTTCGTGTGATAGTTCCTCATTTTCAACTTGTGTTGGATCCAAATGTTTGGAATTGGAATGACTTTTTGTGGTTTCGATAACTTCCCCTTCTTTATCACTAACAACTTTGAGTGAAGATTCTTCTTTTCTAACTTGTTGATGTTCTGTTTTCGAGATAAGTTCACTTGCATTCTGACGAACTTGTTGTTTTCTTGGCTCTTCTTGAGACTTGACTATAACAACGGATGATTCCTCTTCGTCTTGGACCTCCTCATCCGGTTTCAGACTACTCAATTTCTCAGCTAAACAGTTGAGACTCGTACGAGCTGTGGTAAAGTAA